ATACTCTCACATACACACACATATACAGATGCACACATTTACACACAGACACACACATGCACGTACATACACAAATACATCCATACACACACACACGCACCGATACACACACAAACACACATACGTACATACACACGCATGTACGTGCACACATTCATACATAAACCCATTCATACATATACATACACAGACGCACACATTTACACATAGACACACACATGCGCGTACATACGCAAACACATTCATACACGCACTCACACGCACATACACATACACATATACACCCGCTTGCACGTGCACACACACATACATTCACACACACACACATACAGACACACACTAACACACATATACACAGATACACACATACACACACACTCACAAACACCCACATACATACGCATGCATCCATACTCTCACATTCACATACATACATAGACGCACACATTCACACACACACATTTACACACAGACACGTACATACACAAAAACATCCATACATACACTCACACGCACATCACACACACAGACACAGATCCACACATGCACACATATGCACGTGCACACGGAATCACACTAACATACACAAACACACACACATATGCACATACACACACACACACACACATCCACACGCATGCACACACATACATTCACACACAATCTCTCCCATTCATACACAGACTCTCTCTCTCTCACACATACACACAGCACGCACAGACTCACACAAACACACACACACACACACACACACACACACACACACACACACACACACACACACACACACACACACACACACGTACTCCCTCTCTCATTATCTCTCTCTCACACATACACAGACACCTAAATCTAGACACACACATACACCCACATACATATACATGCATTCATACACTCACATACACACAGACACATACATGCACGTGTACACACAAAAACAATCAAACACACACACACATGCACACACACACACACACACACACACACACACACACACACACACACACACACACATACATTCATACACACACACACACACACACACACACACACACACACACACATACATTCATACACAAACTCTCCCATTCATACACAGACACACACACACACACTCTAATACACATATACACAGAGACACACATACACACACACAAACACCCGTATACATACGCATGCAGACACATACATGCACGTGCACACACAAACACAATCAAACACACACAAACACATACATTTATAAACAAACTCTCCCACACACATATGAACACACACATGCATTCATACACAAACTCTCCCATTCATACACAGACTCACACACACACACACACTCTAATACACAGATACACACATACACACATACACACACACACAAACACCGGCATACATACGCATACATTCATACTCTCACATACACAGTCGCACACATTTATACACAGACATACACGTGTATGTACATATATAAACACATCCAAACACACACTCACACGCACATACACACGCATGCACGTGCACACGCATACATTCATACACAAACCCATCCATACATATACATACACAGACGCACACATTCATACACACACTCACACATTCATACACAGACACATATACACACATACACACGCATGCACGTGCATACACATACATTCACACACACATACACATTCTCTAACACATAGATACACAGACACACACACACGGACACACATACACAGAAACACCCACATACACACGCATTCATATTCTCACATACATACATACACAGACACACACATTTGCACATAGACACACACACACGTACATCTGCAAACACGGCATCCACTCGGGGTAACGGTCTCCTCCTGCCAATTCCTGCCTGCCCCCCGTCCTAGGCCTTGATCAAAAAGGGAGTTCCGTGACATTAAACCGAAATCATATATATGTATCACAGCCACAGACACACACACACACACACACACACACACACACACACACACACACACACACACACACACACACGCGCGCGCGCGCGCGCGCATAGAGACTCTCTCTCTCTTCCCTCCTCTCTCTTTCTCTCTCTCTCTCACACACACACACACTCGCGCGCGCGCATTGAGACTCTCTCTCTTTCTCTCTCTCTCTCACACACACACACACACACTTAGACACCCACACATACAACCACATACATATACATACAATCATACACTCACATACACACAGACAGCTACATGAACGTGCACACACAAACACAATCAAACACACACATGTACACATACATTCATATACAAACTCTCCCATTCATACACAGACACACACACGCGCACACACACATACTCACGCACACAAACACCTACATACATACACATGTACTCATACTCTCACACACACATATACACACACGCACACATTTACACACTTACATACATATGCCGATCAGGGCCCGCACTGACCGGAGCACAATACCCACTCTAGTCATCAACGAGCACTAGTTCATTTACAGGCTCACACACACACACACACACACACACACACACACACACACACACACACACACACACACACACACACACACACACACACACACACAGACTCTGGTATATTTCTTGTGTTTGCGAATGTCTTTCTCTTGCTCCTCCACTTCCCCCCACAACTCTCTTCTGTCATCCCTCCTCCCTCCCACCATCCCTCTCCTCCCTCTCTCCCACCTTCTCATACATACATACGTACGAATGTGTACATATGTACACACACACATACGTACAGACACACAGACACATACACGCGCGCGCGCGCGCACTCACACACAGAAATCTTCCTTATTATCTCTCTCTCTCTCTCTCATTCTCTCTCTATGTCCCTCCCTCTCTCTCTCTCTCTCTCTCTCTCTCTCTCTCATTATCACCAGTAGCAGCCCAGAGGCATACACATCAGCCGCACAGATAAACACGAATGCGCGCGCGCGCACACACACACACACACACACACACACAGAGAAATTTTCCTTATTATCTCTCTCTCTCTCTCTCATTATCATCAGTAGCTGCACAGAAGCATCACCAACACAGATAAACACGAATCTGCACACACACACACACAAACATATACATATATGCCTATAGATTACAGGAACAATGACACACATAACGTATCTTGGTAATATCGTGTGTTATCTTTTTGTGTGAGTGTATGATTATGTGAATGTGTAAGTATGTATTCCTTTTGGATGATGGTCATCGCACACACATAATGTGTTTGTGGCTGTGTAAATGTGTGTGACTGTGTGTGTGTTTGCTTTTTTTCTTTTTCTTTTTTTTTTTTTTTTTTTTTTGCGTGTGTGTGTGTGGGAAAATTACATGTGATGCCCATTCACGAATCGTCCCTTGGGTGATTTAGGGTTTAGGGACGACAGCCCACAGCGGATCCATTGATACCAAATCAGGTGAATGAGCTACGACCCCGAAGGCCAACGGTATTTATATTTCTAGCGGGAGAGCTTTTGGGAAGAAGAATGGTACTCTCACAGTGTACCCTCAGAAGACAATGGCAAACCACTGAGTATTTTGCCTAGTTATACCATGATGATGCAGAGTATTGGCACCGTCTGGCCGACAACGTCACGTGATTCGGCACCAAAAGAAGAAATGTATAAAATTAAATATCATGTACATTAGATTTTATTCAAAACATTAGTCTCCCCCCCCCCCCTTTTTTTTTAGTGCCGTATCAGAGCCTGACGTTGGCGACCATGTTTTTTTTTTTTTTTTTTTTTTTTTTTTTTAATTTCATGGTTGTACAAAGGAGCGTACGAAGGTGGTTTCCCGTTGCCTTCCTTCGGGGCCGCCGAGGTCAAGTTCATTGCCCAAGGGAACAGCGCGCCGGCCGGGACTCGAACCTTCGAACCTGGATCTGTCACGAATCCAAAGTCCGATGCTCTAACCACTGGACCACCGCGCCCCATTAGTCTCCCTTAGGAAGCTAAAAACAATCCTCCCCGGTATAGATGGAGGAGACAAGTATATACATTTTGGGCCTGAGAATGATGCACACTGATTCATTTGCAAAAAAAAATTGTTCAGTGACTTTATGTAATCCTGGGAATAAAAGTAAGTATTCTATAACGAAAAGAATGTGTGCACATGTGTGTATCTAGGTATTCCCTCTTTAATCATGGATACAACATGGTTCCTACGAAATAAAATATATAAAGTAATAACAGAATATAGTAAATACATGAAGGTAAAAGGTACACTGTCAGTATTAGTATCACGAATTATGAGTATTCTAATAAGATAGGTCGTAGTCGTCTACCTCTAGGTTTTCTTCGACACCTTTTGTATGATTCTGATAAGGCGCATCGTACTCGTCACCTTTTGTATGTTTGTGGTGAGTAGGGCTTTTGTTGTTGCCTTTCATTTTCTCCTACCGGTATATTGAAAAGGAAAACGGCTGTTGTATTGGTCTCAACCAGCAGCAGTGACTGGACGTCTTCCAGCAGCAGTGACTGGACGTCTTCCAGCAGCAGTGACTGGACGTCTTCCAGCAGCAATGACTGGACGTCTTCCAGCAACAGTGACTGGACGTCTTCCAGCAGCAGTGACTGGACGTCTTCCAGCAGCAGTGACTGGACGTCTTCCAGCAACAGTGACTGGACGTCTTCCAGCAGCAGTGACTGGACGTCTTCCAGCAGCAGTGATTGGACGTCTTCCAGCAGGAGTGACTGGACGTCTTCCAGCAACAGTGACTGGACGTCTTCCAGCAGCAGTGACTGGACGTCTTCCAGCAGCAGTGATTGGACGTCTTCCAGCAGCAATGACTGGACTACGAGCAGTAGCAGCTACTGGAGTCCACCTCGTAAGAAGCGTGGTAAAGACCATAAGAAAGACCCACGTTGGGAGTCATCTAGCAGCAGTTACTACTGGACAACATCGAGTAGTTACTATATGTCACCTAGCAGCAGTTACTGGACTACGAGTAGCTATTGGAGTACACCTCGTAAGAAGCGTGGTAAAGACCATAGGTATAAGAAAGACCCACGTTGGGTATCATCTAGCAGCAGTTACTACTGGACAACGAGCAGTTATTATATGTCATCTAGCAGCAGTTACTGGACTACGAGCTACTGGAGTCCACCTCGTAAGGACGATAGGTATAAGAAAGCCCCACGTTGGGTAGTGACCAGTAGCATTGAAGTGCAGTATCCTCCTCCTGGGCAGTAACCTGCTGCTGTGTAGGGTCCTCCTGCTGGGCAGTAACCTGCTGCTGTGCAGGATCCTCCTGGGCAGTAACCTGCTGCTGTGTAGGGTCCTCCTCCTGGGCAGTAACCTGCTGCTGTGTAGGGTCCTCCTCCTGGGTAGTAACCTGCTGGTGTGCAGGATCCTCCTCCTGGGCAGTAACCTGCTGCTGTGTAGGGTCCTCCTCCTGGGCAGTAACCTGCTGCTGTGTAGGGTCCTCCTCCTGAGCAGTAACCTGCTGCTGTGTAGGGTCCTCCTCCTGGGCAGTAACCTGCTGCTGTGCAGGATCCTCCTCCTGGGCAGTAACCTGCTGCTGTGCAGGGTCCTCCTCCTGGGCAGTAACCTGCTGCTGTGCAGGATCCTCCTCCTGGGCAGTAACCTGCTGCTGTGTAGGGTCCTCCTCCTGGGCAGTAACCTGCTGCTGTGTAGGGTCCTCCTCCTGAGCAGTAACCTGCCGCTGTACAGGGTCCTGGTCAGTAACCGCCTCCTGGGCAGTAACCTGCCGCTGTGCAGGATCCTCCTCTTTAGCAGTAACCTGCTGCTGTGTAGGGTCCTCCTCCTGGGCAGTAACCTGATGCTGTACAGGGTCCACCTGGCGAGTAACCTCCTGTTGGACGGGGTCCTCCTCCTTGGGAAGATCGTGGTCCTAGATCTTGGTGCGGTCCTGGACCTCGGCGAGGGCGTCCTCCTCCATATGGCAACAGGCGTCCACCTCCCTATCGTAGCTATTCTTACCGGCGTAGATATACAACCCATCATCACCATACTAGAAGCTACTACAGTAGAAGGCATAGTCATAGGCATACTAAATCTAATACAGCTGCTGCTCCTGCTGTGGCTGGTGCTATGCAAGGATTAATGCCTGGTGCTATGCCAGGTGCTATGCCAGGTGCTATGCCAGGTGCTATGCCAGGTGCTATGCCAGGTGCTATGCCTGGTGCTATGCCTGGTGCTATGCCTGGTGTCATGCCTGGTGCTATGCCTGGTGTCATGCCAGGTGCTATGCCTATGCCTGGTGCTATGCCTATGCCTGGTGCTATGCCTATGCCTGGTCCTTTTGGTGCTCCTGGTTTTCTCCCAGGTCCACCGTTGATGATGCATTAAAACGGATAAATCTGCAGATTATCATGTACCTATATCATAATAATGATATTACTTTTAGTAGGTACTCTCTTCCATTTATATATGTTTATTTATTATTTCTTATGATTACTTTTTACATATTAAAATGGTGTCTAACTTTTGATATTCGAAGTCTGTGTGATAAACTCACAAACAAAAACACACAAGACCAGCTAAATCACGCTAGAGAGAGCAACTGACTGTCTCACACTCACTGGCCATGCCAATGAAAAGATCTCCCTTAACGTGAGGTGAAGGTGAGGTAATGACAGTCACGTAAGCATCAGGTGACAAGGTGAAGTTTAAAAGCGGATGTGACGGCTGTGACCAGGGGAGGTTAAACTTTATCCTGGAATTAAAAAGGTCACGACAAACCAAATACAAACAAACAAACTACGCTAACAAAAATAGAACAAGAGAACACAAAAACAACAATACAAAAGGGGATAAGGGCAAGGGGAAGGTGAAAAAGAAGTAGTAGGAGGTGGTTTCAAAGGGTGCAGCCAAGGCTTAAAAACTGCATCCAGTTCTTCGTCCCATGCCAAAGAAAAAAGATCATGACCTAATCCCTATCTCCGGCCGAAACGAAAGATGGTGTTGAGTCTATCCAGCCAGTCGGTATGCCAGGCACAGAGTGTTTTGGTCTGTTTACAGACCAACCTATGCCACTTAATGTTCAGAGGAAGCTTCCTCGTAGAGTTTAGATGTTGTAATAAAGTGACTGGGGCTGCACTTTTAAATCGAGAAAGCGAATGTAAGGCTTTTCTAGCTAAGGCGGCCTTTGAATTAACGTGCAAGTGAGATCGAAAGTATGTATCAAAGGTAAACCAGGATGGTACAAGAGGATGTAATTTGGAGACGTGCTTGCAGTCTATTGACAATGTATTGAGGTAAATGTTGTCGTAAGGAAGAAGTTTTCGTGGTCTTGATACGTCATCTGTGCTCCCATCTCGAGACAATGACACCTGAAAGCGCATTGTGTCGAGCGAAGTGCTTACAGTCGGCAGCATAGAGGATAGTGAGTGAGCGTGTGTATGGGGTCTGGAAGGTCGTTTGTGTATAATGTATAGGCTGAGTATGTTGCCCTGAGGTACTCCAGCATGTATGGAAATGGTGCCTGAAACTTTGTTTAAGAATTTTAATTTTAATCTGCGGTTGTTAA